CGCCCCAGCGCGCGGACGCCGCGCCCGCAGACGCCTCTCAAAGTGCCCCCGTTCTCATACTTCCAAAGCTAGTGCAGCACAAGTGATTGAACTAGGCGTTGTAAGAATGCTGGGGCTGGCTCGGAGCAGGGCCCGGAGTCGGGGGGCAGCAGGGGTGCTCGAGGGAAGGTGGCAGGCGAGGTGTGAAGGGTGCACTGGCTTCCTGAGGGGGGACTTGGCCGTAAGCATGATCAGCAAACCCTTGCCTGCTTATGTCTTCCTTTGTGCACCTACCCGCTTCTCGGTGCTTGAGCGAGGAGGGGTATGTTAGCCTGTTTCCTTGTGTCAGACCTTTGCTCAAATGGCCGAAGCAACTTGGCCCAAAAGCCCAGTTTACTGCTGGGAGGGTTCTTTGAGTCAACTTGCTAATTCAGTCATTTTTTTAAGTTAGTGCCAGGGAACTTTGATTTTGATTTTTATTTTTTTAATTATCAGTTTTAGTGTTGCTTTATATTCACTTTTAAATTTTTTTAAATTGAATCTTGTGGATGTGCTAATTTAACACTACATCTTGCTATATCAAAGCCTGCAGTTTATCTTAGCCATGTATTTGGACAGCTTCTTAATTTCTTTTGTTTAGCTAAAATGCCTAACATCTATTGCAACAATAGAAAGTCATGAATCATTCATCGCAGTAAATGCTTTTGCATGTGCTTGTATCAGGCTATATTTGGATGAAGATGTCGGTGCCCTGCAGCATATGTTTATACTCCTGTTTACCCCTCCCTACACCAAAATATGTTCCAAGATGTTGAGCAGCCAATTGCAAGTTTAAGGGTATGATTTTTTTATTTTTTTATTTTTTGGTAAAATCATGCCCAGATTCTTTTGGCATCTTCATAGAACAGCAGCAGCAAGTACTGGAATGGTTTTTTCAGGCTGGTAAGAGTCATAGCTGATAACAGATTCCTCTTACATGCAGTAACTAAGCTAGGCCCCTTCAAGCTGTGTGGGAAGTACAGTTGGCTGATGAGCAAAGGAATATTAATTTCCTTTTCTACCTAGGGTGCTGTTAAAGCAATTACAGTTAGCAGAAATGTGCCAGTACGCTGCTCTGGAAATCGTAGTGTTCTGCTTTCCTTGTCTTACTCCTCCAGAGGACATGGCTTGGTTTCCAGAAGGTGCTGTTTCCCTCAGTCTCGACCTCCCAGGCTTGGAAGTGGAATATGCTGCTTTTCTGTGCTCGTCTCCTGAAGACTGAGGTGCTGGGTGGTATGTTAACCAGCACCGTGATTTGAGAGAGCATTCCCTGAAGAAATCATTCTTGAATCAAATGAAAGATGATGCCGTCTTGAAGGAGGTTGTTCACCACCTCTGAATCGGCTTCACTATAGGTTTGTAGGCAACGCGCTCAGCGAGACTGAGGGTTTCTGGTCTTCTCTGTTTCATTTGTTCCAAGATTCAAGTAACTCCCAGGTGACAGCCTTCTATGAGGATTGAGAGCACAAACCTTTCGAGCTAAAATCCTCAGGACTACATCATAGTTGTGGGGTGGAGGGAAATACTGTCACGGCATGGAAATGGAGTGGAGGTGCGAAAGCAGAGTTGAACTGACTCCTCTTACAGCACTGGAGACTGTAGGAAAACCAGAGGACCTCAGGTTCTGCCATGTCACTAACTGGGAATTAGAGGGCGAGGAACGTCGCAGTGATGATGTCGCCTGACCCAGGGAACGTTAGCGCTGAGCACCCGTACGCTCGCTTGGCCCGGTGACATTTCCACAGCTGATTTGTGTGTGGCGTTACAGTGTCTGTTTCTGAAACACAGGGGACAGCCTCAGCCATTTAAGAGATTATTTCCTTAATGAAAGCTAGCTAGAAATATCAGTCTAAATTAGTCTAAATGAACTAATTTCCATTAGATTATTCTGCTTGCTCTTGGGTAGGGATTTTTTTAGTATGATATAAGAGTCCAATTTAGCTTCCTGTGCATATATCCATAAAATGACTTCTCTTTGAGCAAGATGGTAAGATGTTTTCAATCACCTGTTGAAAAATGCACGTAGGAACTTGGTCATTTCTGATGTGGAGTGATTATTTGTCAGTCTGTTCTGATGCCGTTAAGGACCTTTTAATATTGAGGAACCTAGATAAAGATGTGTTTGCAGGGGTTAGAGCGCATGGATTCCTTTTTGCCCATCAGACTGTATTTGTCCATAAATACCGATGTTTTTGCACATACCCAGTCACTTGACTCACGTTAACTCTCTCAGGGAGAGCGCTGCTTCCGTCGGCTGCTATTCTGTGTGTTGAGTGGCCATTCCAGAATCCCAGGCACATCTGGAGGGAACGGGCTCGTGTGCGCAGTGTGTCATGTGTTCATAAGAAATGCCATATAACTGCACTGTTAATATACCGTATGTTTCATAACTAACTTAAAAGCGAATGCCTACCTGTATAACTGGTAGAAGCTGTTGGACAGGTCCCATCTTGTTGAATCTTTTGGGGAGGGGGGGTCAGCCTTTCGTAAGGGGTCTGTGCAGGGGGACTCAGTCTGCTGCTGGACAAGTGCTCTCGGGTAGGACATTGAGGATTGTGGCTATTGCCTGGTGATAGACACTGGAATAATTCTGCTCTTCTTTGAATAAGTGATTGAATCGCAGTTCTTGCATTTGAAGGCCAAGTTATTGTCTTAGTGGGGAAAAGTTTTACTTCAAAAGCTTATGGTTAAGCTGCACACCTTCAGTTTGATGATAGAGCTTTGTCCTTTCTCGTGTGGAACCTGCAGGGCTCAGGCAGTTTGAGACATTGGCTCTCTGTGTCCCCAGACAGTGATTAAATGTAGGCGGTCACTTGGAGGATTCACAGAACGCACGGGGCCTTTATTAACACTAACGTCAATCCTTTTGCATTTGAAAAGTGACTAGAGAATTTGTCTGAAAGTAGGAAGCAATAATTAGGAGACAGCACTGTCCCCAATACATGCTTCTTTCTCATGTATTTGCATACACAGCCTTTTTTTGTACACGTTAAGTGACTGTGCTATCTGGCTTGTGGCACGTTTTTAGGGATACTACAGTCATATCTTGACTGTATGTCATGACATATGTACTGCCTGCAAGCTAAACAGGATTTCCTTGGGGATTCCAGTAAGAACAGGTTTTGAGAAACTACAGGAATCATGGTTCTTGTAGTTCTGGGTGCAGGCAGAGCTATAAAGCATTTCAAGTCAATTCTGGGCAAAACTCTTCTGTCGTTGACACAACTACGCTGCCTGCATGCGGGGCTGACTGGAATCTGCTCCCTAACTCTGCATTTGTCACTTGTCTGTTGCAGGGATTTACCTCAATATGGGCAAAAGCAGTGGCAGTCCTATTTTGGGCGAACATTTGACGTTTACACCAAACTCTGGAAGTTTCAACAGCAACATCGGTAAGGGAATGTTGTAGGCAGCTGTGTTCCATGGATTTAAGCACAACTTTAATCTCTGGTATGCCTAGGGCCCCCGGTTAAGTTTGAGATTTCGCTGTGTTATTCAAGCATGAAGGGAGGGAATAGTCACTTCCTGTAGTGCTCACAGTCTAATGAATTAAAATGTTGAAGAATTTTCAGTGTGACTTTTTTAACAAAACCTTTGGCTCCACTTGAATGCATGTTGCTTTAATATATTCCCAAGGAGAGGCTGGGCCGATGGCTTCTGCAGTGCAGAACCCATCTGGAATGGTGTGAAGCGTCTTGCTGCAGCGTGGGCTCTGATCTTTCACACCTTACATTGGCTGCGTAGTCTGAGTGTTCTCCTGGGAAGTTGTGACCTTTTGTTATGTGTATTTTGTGCAACATACTTATGTCTAGCTCTCGCAAGTTTATGCAAGATAAATGGTCCTTGTTCTGGGGGGGGGGTGTGTGTGTGTGTGTGTGCGCAGTGCTGTTGGCTCTGTGAGGGACTGCTAATGGGAATGCCACACCAGTAATGAAAGCTGAATTTGGCCCTACAGTGGCTCTTTGTCTTGTCTGGTGTGATGTTCTGAGAAATTCTGGAATGCCTTTTAATCTTTCTTTTCTCTCTTGCGAAATAGACAAGTATTGGACAATCGGTATGGGTTGAAGCGGTGGCAAATTGGGGAAATTGCTTCCAAGATTGGGCAGCTCTATTACCATTATTAGTAAGTAAGCACAGAAAAGGATTCAGTAGGGGAATGCAGCGTTAGTGACAGCTCCATGGCAAACATCCGGATGCGCAGTCAGGAGAAGTCGGGCTATCAGCTGAGTCGTGATGCCCATTTCCGAGTGAGCCGGCCCCTGGGACTGCGTGGGGCTGCTGCAGAGAACAGCACCTGTGAGCCTGGTACCACGCTGCTGGTCACGGCGGCACTGCCTCGGGACTTGCTTCCTACCTCAAAAGTGTCTCTGGGCCTTCTGTGCGTGCTGCATTTCACTCTTGTGCCAAATTGTGATTTACAAGTTTGGGAGCTTAATGCTCCTTGCAACTTTTTACTTAACCTGTCACCTGTACATATGGGTACAAGATGGGCAGATCTGATTGTTATCTGAGATGGAATCCAAGCTCTGAAATCTGTCTTCCCAGCAGGCACAAAGAATGAGAGTCTGGCTTTCATACAACGTTACTTGAGGAGGGAGTTTTGCCATTGATGCACAAGATGGTTGAGGGGGCAGGAAGGGAGGGTTTGGCATGGATTTCCATCTGAAGCAGGGAGCTAATCTGATTCTTCCTCTGCAGCTTGCGCACTTCAGAAACCAGCTATCTGAATGAAGCTTTCTCCTTCTATTCAGCAATTAGGCAGAGGTCATACTACTCCCAAGTCAACAAAGAAGACAGGTATGTCTCAATGAATGCCCTTGTTTTTTCAAGACTAGAGCGGTGTATGAAAGCAGCAAGTCGCTATGATCTGTAGGGGCATAACTGGGATAAAATCAGGGTTGTTCAAGGAAGTTTCTTTTAATCCTCCTGCCATGATTAAAAACCTCTGTATAATAAATAACAGCTTTGCTGTATGACTGGGAGAATATTCTGTTATCTGGTCCTGGCTATTGGCCCCGAAGTTCTGTCATTTTGACTCATGAGCAGTATCAGTGCTGGGACCGAACGTGCTGTGGCTGGAAGATGGGCTGGCTGGGCTGAAGCAGAGGAACCCGTTTGATTCTTATCAGGCTTCTCAGGGGGACACCAGTTAGTACTGCAGTACAACAGCCCTCTGTAACTGACTGGGACGAGGTCCAAGAGCTTCAGGAGGCAGAACATCTTCCTTTTAAGACACTTTACTCAGAAAGGTACACTCAAAGCAGGGCTGTGTTGTGACAGTGCAGAAAAGGTGCTGCCTGCCAAAGAACATAGATATAAATAGGAATAGGTAGAAAACTCAGTTCTGGATCCTGGTCTTACATTGTAGCCAGTAAACCAGGGTTTATTATATATATTTATCATTAAAGCTGAAGAAGAAATGATCTGAAGTCATCACAAGGTAAATACAGAAGGTTAGTTAGGGATTTTCCTGCCAAGCCTTTAAGGATCTCTGGACTTGAACTGATTGCACGTCTCTAGTCCTGCTGATGTCTGAATGCGCCTGTGTGCCACAAACAGATGAAAGTTTCCCTGCTCTGTTCTGATATCTGTTGATCCTATCATCTTCTCTCCTAAAAATCTCTCCATTTCAGTCTGAGTGCATGAGCTGTTTCAGCAAGGTAGGATTGACCAAGCATGTTTCTAGATGCTGTCAGAAGATCTTAGAAATGGATGAGTAGTTATGGGCTGGCTGACTTGCAGATCTCTTAAGTTGTCCCAGGTGGGGGAACTCTGAGCCAGCTGTGATTATCATGCGGTGCGGTGGGGTCAGATGTGCCCATGAACTGTCAGAGGGTTTGAAGAGCCAGCAGTTCTGTCTGACTCCCATGCCTGTCCTCATGTAAGGAGACCGTGGGGAAGGGGGAGGCTGGGGCTTTCTTGATGTATATTTTATGTCCCTGTACTCAACTTGAAATAAATCTCTAAGCAGCCGGGTAGCTATTGATCTCCACATTAATTCAGTTAGAATTCTTAATCTGTGGCCTGTTCAGCCTTGCTCTGGTCTTATATTCATCCTCTCCCTTACTCCTGTTGCCTACCTGTGTTCTATTTTAATCTCAAATTTGCCTGTGGTGTTTTTGTTGTTGTGTTTAGGCCTGAATTAGTCGTTAAGAAGCTGCGTTACTATGCAAGGTTTATAGTGGTTTGTCTCTTGCTCAACAAAATGGATGTTGTAAAGGACCTGGTAAAGGTATGTTAAAATGAGGATAAAGGTGCTAAGGGGTGGGACGTGTCTTGTTATTCAGGGATTTTCTCCTGGTTAAGGAATCCATAATATAGCCTATTTCAGTTGAAATACCGCTCATTAGGTCTATGATATTAGCTGTTGCTACAGCATAGCTTTTAAATTTTTCTTCCTCATTTATTTGATTGTGCTGTTGGATGCCACAGAAGGAAGGAAGAAACATGGCTAGAGCTATGGGAAGATTCAGTACAGTGTGAACATTTGGCTTGTGAAAAACTTTACAAATTTACATAGTTAGTTACGCATTAACTGTAAGATGTGTGTTATTCATCTGAAAATGTGGGGATCATCTGATAACTCAGAGTTCCTCTTCATTCCTGTGGTGGGTTTAAGGCATCAGTGGAGTCTCCCCCGGCAAGTCTTCCTGACACGCTGTTGCTTGGAAAGCCAGCGTCTCCTAGTTTGGTGTTGAGCTTATTTCTCTTCCCTTCCAAACCGCTATGGCTCCGTCCCATGTCTAGAACGCATCCTGAATACATTTTGCACCTTTCAGAGACCCATCAAAACTAAGCCTTGCTAAATGATGTCGATATTACTATGAAATTGGAGAGGCTGGATCTGCATATGCCTCTGCTGTGGGAGTGAAGCACTGAATGCCTGTAAACACAAGTCTAGGTACAACAAATAGAGTACAGGCCAATGCCGATCATTGCTTTTCCAGTGTATCTGGCATCCAACGTGGTAAATATCTTCTGTGAGGCAGACATTTAATAATGACACTCTAAGCTCAAATGATTTGATAGCGTTGTTTGAACACCAAGTGACAATATTCCAGTAGCTGCAGCCTGGATAGGGAGGTACCCTTTGACTACAACAAAGGAACAGCACGCGTCTCCTGACAGCATATGCTTTCCAAGCCCCCCAACAACCTTGCTGCGAGCAGCTTCTGGTATTGACAGTTTTGTGTAGGTTGCATCACTGTCTTTGTGTCTAAGCTTACTTGAACTGCTAGCTTAGCTTAGTAGCAGCTAAAAAAGCCAAACCATTCACTTTCACAATGTATTTAAAGTTACTTGTAAGCTGAAATGTGAGTTCTTGGTATCCATAGCTTATGGTAATAACCGGTGACATAGCTGTATGTGAGTGGGATAGTTATACTTAACTCCAGATATTCTTTGCATTTGGACCTACTTAAAAGACACTTTGCATTGCCAAAACTCAGTGTAACATTGGCATTCTGTCTCCTGAAAGAGCGCGTTTTGGCTGGCATGTTAGTCATAAGTGTGCTGCATATGTTCTCAAGTAATTTTTTTTTTTTTAATTATTCTTAAAGGCCACCACAGCTAACCAAATTGTAAAGTTACTGCCTGCCTGTTAAGCTCTCAGTTTAAGAAGTGACTATGTCTGTCTTTGAACTTCTTACATCAGGAGCTGTCAGATGAGATTGAAGACTACACTCATCGTTTTAATACTGAAGATCAGGTGGAGTGGAACCTGGTTCTTCAGGAAGTGGCAGCATTTATTGAGGTGAGAAATACCATTCCCTTTTAGTTGTTAGTTTAAAAGTAACATTTTTCTGACTTGTTCACTGAAGTGTTCTTGTAGCACCACCTCCATGTGGCGGGCAGGTGTGTGAAATGTTTACTGTGACAAGACTGTTGGACTTCTCTCTGACTGCAAATCTGTATGTTTTCTTGAATTCCTGATTTATTCTGGTTGGTTTTTTTAGGCAGACCCTGTCATGGTTTTAAATGATGACAACACCATTGTAATCACCTCTAACAGGCTTTCTGAAACAGGAGCTCCGTTGCTAGAGCAAGGAATGATAGTGGGACAGCTTGCTCTTGCAGATGCGCTGATTATTGGGAACTGCAACAACCAGGTAAAAGAAATTCTGGGGACTTGGGTTTGTATCTTTGGAGTTCAGAGTCCTTCCCATCTGATCGTACAACAGAGATTCCAATAGAGGCAAACATTAAAATATATCGATTGTGATGTTTGCAGTGGCAGCAGGAAGAGGAGGCTCTCAGAAATAAGAGCTAAAAATGAAATGTTAGATATTGGCCCTGTGGTACTGACCCCTTATTGCTTATATTCATCATGTCAATTAAGTAGATACAATTGATTTTCATATACTGAATTGTTCTTAACATCATTGAAGCATGAGAGGCCTCTGGGTTATGTCTAGAAAAAGCTTGACTCTTCGGGCATTCACATGACAAGCTCCAGCTTGGTGCAACTTCAGTTGCAACAGGAAGGAGTTTCAAAAGACATTCAAGATCGTGGTTTTTAGCTGCTGATGATAGTGAAGTTGTACGGACTTCACAACTCCTCTCTGAGCTCTTTTTTCGGGTAAGCAAGGGAGCTGTATCTAAACAACAGTTCATCTTTTTCATGTTTTGCCTAAATGCATAGTACGTAGTGATTTCAGCACTCGATTTGTAAACACCCCAGAAGAGTCTAATTTGCGAAGCAGGGCTCTGCACTGCAGTGAGTGGGCCTGGTAGACCAGTGGTAAATAGACTGTCCTCTGTGAGCTCTCCTAAAAGTCATTCACAGCTCTTTAGAGATCCACAGATGACACTGACAGATCCCTGAGAGACAGGCAATGGTCTGTCTGGTATGCAGCTGAATCTCTTACCTGGATAATTCCAAAGAAACTGTTTAATCTCTGTCTGGCAGAATAAACTCTGACTCTTTTGCAGGTCAAGTTCAGTGAATTAACAATTGATATGTTCCGAATGCTACAAGCACTTGAAAGGGAACCAATGAATTTAGCATCACAAATGAACAAACCTGGAATGCAGGTAAGTTCCATTTCAGTGACAAACCTGGCAACAGACCTTAACTGGGATTTTTTTTCTCTGCTTGTTTTATTTTAAATGGTGCCTTTCAGTATTGTCGCTGTGCAGAGCAGGTTAGTAAAACTGGTGTAACTCTTACTAGAAGTTAGTGAAGAGTAGCTCAGATCTGTGGAGTTTGATCCAAATAATGTCTTATTTTTTTGTTCCCCCTTTCTTTTTTTTTTTCCTTAGCAAACCTTCAGTAGTGAAAAACTAGCAGAAACGAATATTTGAGCATAATTTCACAAAGGGTTTACACTGGTTTAGCCAGGGCCCTTCTGAAGGGGCCCAGCTTGTCCTGCCCAGATACACTCACCCCTTCCTTAGTTTTCACTCTAGTAGTCATGCAGCCAGAGAAGTTGATCAACTTGCTGAAAGTTAAATATCCCCTTCAGAGAAAGCATAAAAAATATTTTATCTGGAGGCAGAAGGAACTATGTAGATTTTCATTTATTTAATTGAGGAGTGAATTTTTTCACTTTGGGGTGATGCTTTAAAGAGTAGGGAAGATTTAGGTAACATTTAAATGAGGGGTAATGTAAAGTTCTGGTTCAAATACTGCATCTTGCTTTGCTGTGTAGTAGGAAATGGCAGACCATTTGTGTGGGAAGTATGTTGAAGATGAACATTCTAATAAATAGAAATTTAGAGGGTTATGAAACTGCTTTGGTAATGTATGGTTGTTGGGGTTTTTTGATGTTGTGTTTTGTTTTTTTTAACAGGAATCAACAGAGAAACCAGCCAGGCGGGAAAACCCCCATAAATATCTACTTTATAAACCCACTTTTAGCCAGCTGTATACATTCTTAGCAGCATCATTTAAGGTTTGTGAAATTGGTGAATTTATTTGTAATAGAAAAATATCCAGAATGGTATGTGACACTGAATAAAATGTGGTTGAGATAATCTTTTATACTTCAAGATAATTAATCCTTTTTGGCCTTCTTAAAATGCTCAGTATGATCTTCAGAGAGGATGGAAATGTTATAGATACGTGTAATTTGTGTAATAAAGGCAAATCTGTTGGACTGCTGTTAAGGGAAAGAAAAAAAATTCAGTGTAAGACAGAAACCCAGCTTGCTGTTAGACAGCAGTTGTTATAGCATTGCTGAGACACAGCCGTCGTCAGGGCGAAGCCTGGACAACTCCCAGTGCCAGCCTGGTGTGTGGCACTGCTGCGGAGGGCCTCAAGGGATTGCATGTGATTTAATCTTATCCAGTAACTTTATTTGTGCGAGTGTAGGTATGCGTGCATATAGTACAGATATTTCTGTTTATATATAGTTTCCTACATAAAGTTTATCTATTTCCTATATATATATATATATTATATAGGAAATATTTTTTGAGATGAGAGATCTGGAGAACAGAAGAATCTTAAGAGTATTCTTCTGCTTCCTGTTGTGCCAAACGCAATCCAGAATCAGGGAAGTATGCCAAGAAACTGTTGCTCTGAAGCACTGCGTACCTGCAAGGTCTCCAGTTCTGTGTCCCATTTGAATTGTATCTCTCTCTCTCCCGCACGCACTGTATTTTTATCTGCCTGTCTTAATTTGTTACCCAGTGCTCTCTTCCATGTAAGTAATCTGTACATTTCTAGACTTTTTTTTAGTACAGTTGCTGTGCTTGTTTTAATTTAATAAAGTTGCTGGGCTCGTTATGCTTAATTATGACTGTACAAGGCAGCAACTTGGGATTTTAGTAGTAAAACCAGAATATGAGTCCCATGAATGAATAAGTTTCAGTTTGTTTCAAGAAACAACTGTAGAGAAACAGCTGGTGAGGTGAAGGAGGCCCACCCTTCCTACTTAGAATTTTGGGTGCCTGCATACTTTTGCAGAAATTACAAGCGTCTGTCTCCTCCTGCAGACAGCCCATTGGGAAGGTGGAACAGATTTCTTTTACAGGTCTATAAGAAACCTGGATGTGTTCTGCTTGTTGTCCAGCTGAGAAAGGTCAGGAGGAAGAGACGGACGTTGCAGGCTCTGGGGTATTTGGAAACAAAGAACTTCCTTTAGGATCCTGAATTGTTTGGGTTTAGGCTCTGCATGGATCTTGGCAGCTTTTGGTTTCCATACCTCGGAAAGCCTCAGGCCTGGCTCAGGTAGTAAGAGTCTGTGGAGGCAGATGCTGTTTTAGTGCTGCTTGAACCTCTAATATCAGCGTAGAGGGCTGTGTGGAAAAAAAAAAAAAAGTATGAACATATCATCAGTTGACCTTTTTGTCTGTGTACTCACCCATTTGAAAGGGTGTGTGTGGTGGGGAAGGGTTCGTGCACCTATGAAGAACAGAGCGAAGGGAAGCCAGAAGCAGGAGTAGCACAACCTTAAATGACGATGTATTTATGAAGGTGGTGATTGAATAGTGAAGTAAACTTACACATTTCTTCCCTTTCCTCTCTTCTCTTTGTTTGAATTTCAGGAGCTGCCTGCAAACAGTGTACTGCTGATTTACTTGTCTGCCACGGGCGTGTTTCCATCAGGTCGTTCGGATAGTGAAGGTACAATAAAGGAATGCTCCCTGTCATGAACAGGGCTTGAATTCTCTTTATGTTCCAGGACAAGTGACCAAGAAAGATGTCACAAAGCTCCTTTAAAAAGACAAGTCAATTTTATTCTCCTGTCTACTTAGTAAGATAGCCTTTTTTCCCCACAAACGGTAGTTAATTCCCCGTGTTTTAATTAGTGTGCATTAACCTGAGACCTTTTCAAAGGACATATCCAGTATTTGATGCATCTGAAGTATTAAAAGCTTCACCAATTTGAAGATCACATGGCTCAGTTGATGCATCAGTACAAAGATAATAAAATGGCTCAATGGCACTTTGTGATTCTTTCCAGTCTCCAGTACTGTGAGGACGTATGGTCAGGAGATGGGCGGTGAAAGGGCTGAAGCGTCTGCAGGGACTGTTGTATTTGCACGCTTGTTAACCTGACAATTCAAGCCCTTCTCATGATTTCTGACAATTCCCCTCACCTCATCCTCCTGTTCTTTGCAACCTAGCAGAATATTTGGATGCAGCTGCAATCTAAAAGCTGAAAACTGGTTGGCTGAAGTAAACACAGATAAAAGATCTGTTTATGTAATTCAAGGGAAATCAAAAAGTTTTTAACATCCTAAATATTGTACACGCCTCATCTGTATGAGACTTGCATTCCTTTATAAGATGCATGCCTTGTTCATCTCAGTGCATGATTTATAGAGCTCTTAAAATGTTAAAGGAAAAAAAAAATCCCTGTCAGCTTTGGATTGTGGCAGTGATTTTTTTTTTTTTTTAATGCTTTTAACATTTTACTTTTTGCTGCAACTTGGTGATAGGTTCTAACTGAAGCGTGTTCTTTAAAGCCTGTGGTATGTCCACTTCCCTGCATGTATTGTTTCAGCTTAATACCTTACTGTGGGGGCATCCAGGCTCTGTCATCTGAAGAGCTGCATAGTCAGGCTTCGGTTTTCATTAAATGAATCCCATTACAACTGCATTCTTTTAATAAGGTGGTGGTAGTCTGCACAGACCAAAAAGTTCTACCTTATTAAAAGGGAGAGCAGCCTCAAGTTGCACCCTTTATTGCCTGTAAGCCGTTTGTGCTTGACAGATCACGTGAGACATTTGTAACAGTGCTAAATTACTGCGTGTTCTGTTCCCGATTTTGTATTCCCAAAGCTTTCCTTAAAATGGAAAGATGTCTTATGTATCCAAACCTGAAAAAATTCTGTTTGGTGGCCAAATATGGGTCAACCAACTCTGCAAATGGATACAGAATGAGGAGATCCTAATACTTTATTTTACTGATGTTGGTGACATTTCATACCCATATTAATGGCAGAAATATTTCCTCGTATCTCTAGCACTTTTTTTTGTGTAGGATTTGATATTTTTTATAGCTATTACTTTCAGCTTTGCCCTCCATCAAGCAGTTAGGTGGGTAGCTCAGTTGTGCAAACCTAGCAGAATATTTCTTCAGCTTGCCTTTGGAACACGAGTCCAGGTCATGTGCCTGTAAAAATGGTGAATTCTGTATTTGAAATCCTAAAAAATAAACTTCTGCTGCAGATTTGAAATCTGGTTAAAACTGTTTTGTCCTTTCTAGGAGCATATTCGTTCTCTGAGCTCTCTCTTCTCCCCTTTGCAGTGTTATAGCTGCAGATGATAGTATTATATATGTTCAGAGAGGCTACAGGGGATTCAATTGATTTAGCCTTATTTTTTGATCAAAATCTGCATCTAGAATATGCTAGCTCATACAGTAATTTTACAAAGGTATTGATTTTTCTTATATGAAACGTGTAATGGGTTTTAGTCTTTTGGCTGTGTAGTGTAATAAGAGCCAGCGTTTGGACCTTTCGTGTTACGTTTGTGGATAAATAGTGTCTAAATAAATTAGAAGTTGCGAAGTTGCATTGCTTGCTTCTATGTGATAGATGCTGAAGCTACTGAAAATTGATAGAACATGTAGTTAATAAAGTCTCCACGTTCCTCCATGCCCTCCTTACGACTGCAGTAGTTCAGATTCACTTGGTTTTCTGGGATTTGTGGTTGCTTCTTCCCTTTCACATAATCATTAAACCCATAACAGAGGTGAGTTGCCTCTGCTAATTTTAGCTTTCTTTTTGCCATGTGTAGGTCCGTATGATTTTGGTGGTGTTCTGACAAATAGTAACCGGGACATTATAAATGGGGACGCTATCCACAAGCGAAACCAATCTTACAAGGAGATGCACTGGTAAGCTCCCTCAGCGTGACAGTGGCAAAGTCCAGCCAATTTGTCTTTAATAGAGGAAAAGGCATCGCAGCCTCTTGAGTTCAAACTCTTCAGTGCAGGACATCCTAACGTAGATTGGCTTGGTTGAAAAATTAGCAATGAATATGCCACGGTAAATCATGATTTAAACACTCAAAAAGTATTATGGTGACTTAACATAAATTCTTTATTACTGGAAAACTTCAGATTAGTGGTGGGTGACTTCTCAAGAAGCTAAACATCTCCTGCTGGGAAAGAACTAATAGGAAGTCCAGTAGCCCCTATTACAGAGAATATCAAATGAGTTTTGCAGTTGCTCTCCAAGGATGAGCCTGAGGACGGTGGCAGGGGGGAAGCTGCTTGCTTTCTCTCTGGACGTGGGCAGTTGTGTGCCCGAGCAGCTCGCGCGCTGTCACGGCTTCGCAGCATTTCCAGTGCTCTGTGAAGCGTCCCTTTCTCTTTTCAGTCTTCACCCTGGAGATCTCTACCCTTTCACAAGAAAGCCCCTGTTTATCATCGTGGACTCTTCAAACAGTGTCGCCTATAAGGTAAGGCTCCTCAAGGCAGCTACTTGTATGATAGGATACAGTGTCAACCCCTAGTTAGCTTACGCTTTTAACAGGCTATTTTTTTTTAAACAGTTTGTATTCAGTCTTTCTTTTCTTTTGAGGTTGTGCATGCTAGTCAGGATCTGATCCTATGAATAGGAACAAGAAGGAGAAGCACATGAACAGCCGCTCATTGGAAAGTAATAAATCCTCCTGGAGGGAAAAAAGGTTCAAGATTTCCAAGGTCTCTGGTGGGAGGTTTATTTTTGTTATATACCAAAGACAAATCTTGGTGTGTGTGCATGGGGGAGGGAGATAACTAATCTGCTTTTTTTTTTTCCAGTCATCCAACACTCAGTTGCTTTTATGCAACCGAAAGGAGTCAAAGCATTGAGCCTGATCTTATAAAACACGGGGTGTCTGTGTCTGAAAAGTATCTGAACCAAGGAAATACAAGACTCAAATTAGCATCCTGTGTTACTGTAGAGCGGTGTGTGCTTGGACAATGGGCCTCCTTCCAAGGGTGCTCTGGACTTTCAGTACAATTACTCCAGGCCAAATCACCTTTGGGAGTCGGCAGTTCGGGTAATACAGAAGCAGGCATTTTCAATCTCAGCTGGCAGTTGAATCTGGATAGTGTTACGACATTTATTTTGTTCATGAATGGGATATTAAGAATGTGCTATATCTGGGGAAAGTGCCACTTCCTTGTGTCTTCCTTTTTATAGCTCCATTATGTGCAGTGAGGGAAGCGAACGTTCGCAGCTGCGCTCCGGAGGACGGCTAGGGACGTCTAGTGGCCAGATGAACTTGTTCAGTACCCACAGGCTGTGGCATTTGTTTTAAAGGCATTTGTTGGCCGACGAGAGGTACTAAACCAGTGATCAGTATGATTCAGGGTACTTCTGGATTGAGCCAGGGAACTCTCACCTGGCAGACTTAATGATCTGGCCTCTCTGTAGGGTTTTTGGTTTGTTGTATAGTAAAGCATTTCAAAGGGCTTTTTAAAGACTGCTGCATTTAACTTCACCACGCTAGCTTTCAGTGCAAATCTGCTTTTTGTTACGTCCCCTTCTCCATTTAAAGGGAGGGAAACACAATTAGAATGATTTGCTCATCCTTTTGAGAAAATGAGGATTTCATAGGTTTGGCTTTGTTTCTGGGGGAAAAAGTATGGCTTCGGTTTGGTTTTTTGGTTTGGTTTGTTTTTTCTACACCCTTCCCCTCTAGTAGAATTGCTGAAAGATGTCAAGTGGATCAGCTCTGTAAGAGAGGGGGATTCCTGGTGATGCCAGGTCACACACAGCTCTGGACGTACCAGGGTTCTGGGCACAGCTTAGAGCAAATTCTGAGGTGATGGATTCCCACATGTAGATTTGTAGCTCCTGCGAGAATAACTGTCAGGTGTTCAGAGTAGAGTTTGCCTTTTGCATTACATTTAAATGATTTTCTTTAGATTTTGTGGGCACACGGTAAGCAAAACCCTGTAGCCTCCATTTAATTTCTTCCCCTTGTTCTGCAGTGAACTGACCGTCAGTAGTGTAAAATACGGCAGTGCTCTGTCTGTTAAACACACGGAGCAGCTGGTGTGAGAGAAGTCCAACTGCCTGTCTGTAAGGAGTACAGAAATGGGAGTTTTGGAAGTATTTCAGGACAGGATTATGGAAGTAGCTGCTAGGAGCTCTGACCCAGATCAGAATCGTGTGGGCGCAATTGTGAGGAATCTACACAGAGAATGAAGAGAAAAAAGAAAGAGCATGGACCTCTATTTAAAAAAAAAATACGTTTGGCACTGGAGAACTCGCATTCACCTTCACAATCCATTGCCATTGAACCTGGGGAGGTGGATGTGTTGAGGTCTGTTGGTTTTGGCTGAAGGTGGATGGCAGAGCTCTCAGTCGCAGGATTTTCGGTCAGGGCCTCTCTGTCACCGTTCTGTGCGCGCTGGCGTGCTTGGTTCCTTGTCGCCACAAAATACTGGTAGTGCTGTCCTGGGACTACCCTCCGGGGGTTGTGAGGTGCTTTACAGGCTCAAGCACTGGCACAAAGGAGGTTCTGTGCAATTGTGTGAGAAGTTGAAGTCAACGTACTGACTTTTTTTTCCACATGGCTGCTCTGATTTTTTTCCGATAGGACAGTAGCTATCCTGACATTTAAATGTCACTGCCAGCAATACTGGCAGGAACAGCAACTGCTCACACATCTTTTTCTACAGCCCATTTCTGCTCCCCTGCATGCATTCTCATCCTCTCCCTCTCTCTGGAGGGCTTAAATGGTGATGACTGAAAGTAAGTCCTGCCAGGAAGTGACTTGCCAGTTTGTCAAATCAGCGGCACTTGAACAGCTTCCTCCCCTATATATTTAGCTGAAAGTGGAAGATAACTGCAAGTCGAGCATATCTACTTAAAGCCGTGATTTTTATTTTTTTTTTAACACTTCCATTTAAATATAGATGGCTGTGTTCTTGAAGCTTACCAGTGTATATGTGGATGAAATAATATTTTTAAATCAGTATCTTCTTGTAGCTGTGGTTGTCAAAGATTATGATCAAATGCAAAGTCTTAAAAAAACAAACCAAAACCTCCGGCCGGTAAGAACACAAGGCCTTTGTCACTGATGTGGTATAAATACTTGGCTTAATAGAGTTTACATGTGAGGTGACTTCTGTTGGAGATGATGGGTACTTCTTTTTTGGAGCGATATGTATATGACATGCATTTCACTTCTCTTGGAAAACTTGGAAGTAAAAAACCAGGGTCAGCTTTGAAACAAAGACGTGTTTTACCCTTTTTGGAGTTGTCCATGCGCTGAAGGGACATTCCTTATGCAGTACTCCTCCCAACATCGGGACGGCAGGGCAGGTTCTGGTGCGCTTCGCAGTCCCCTGCTCCAAGCCGCGGCTGTACCGCGCTCCTGCCCCGTTGTGGCATGTGTGCCCACAGCCCTGTTCTGTGGAAATGGGGAGTGGAGAGGGGGTGGTGAGTGAATCCTGGTGTTTGCTTGGGCTGTGGTAGCAGTTGTGTCTGGGCAAGAGCTGAGACAGGCACCTGGAAGCTTGCGAGTCTTGTCCTCCCGGTCCTGCAGTCTGGGTGCAGCGCCTGGCACGAGCGGCTGCCTTCCAGAGAGCACATTCTGGGTTAAACCGTGTAGTCTCTCCCCTTTGCAGGACTTGCTAGCTGTGTTGACTTAATCCCTGCTGGGACAGAGCCCAGAATGATCTCAGATACTGTCAGTGAGTACTACCTTTCCTCAGATATACGAGTGGCCTGTGGCTTTGCTTTATGCCTGGAGGCAGTGTTTAATTGCATTGTCATCTTTACTGATGGAGTTACAGAAAGTCTGCTTTGGTCTCTAGCTGGGGGACACGAGGTACAATTCCACGTGGGAATCCACTCATGAAGACTAAGCAAACACGTAACTCGAATGTGTCACCTGCCGGTGTGTATTCAGTTCAAACAGGCAATGTCTGGGTGACTCTCTCTGGACTTTTCAGTGTTTCTTTGTAGTACAGTTTTACTAATTACCAGGTTCGCCTGCACTTAACTGTCTTCGTGCTAACAGTCGTTGTTTCTCTGTTAGAGACCAAACCTTAGTATCTAGCATCATAAACCTCCTTGGGCTCTTAATGAAACAGAAGGGTTTTTAGGACTAGTCAGCACTCTGTCAGATATGGGAAATGTTTTATTTTGATTAGACTAGATTACTGTCTTTAGTATTTAGCAGACTTAGGTTAAATCAATTCAGGGAAACTAATTTAATTGAAATATACTGTCCGGAAGGGAAAGTTCCATTTGAATTAAGCAGAAGCCAGAAGGAATTAAAAAAAATGAGCTTTTTGATGATTCTACACAAGCAAATACTTGTGGTGATGTATACCTTGCATTTGTAACCTGCCAATTTTAAGAATATAATCTGTCTTGCACTCGTGCTCGGGATGCATGGTTTGAGTGTGTGCTCTGACAGGATGCAGGCATGATCATTTATATTTTCCATGGCTTTCAGTTTTAAGTAAGCTTAAGCATTTATATTTTCCATGGCTTTCAGTTTTAAGTAAGCTTAAGAAAGCTTGAAGAAAGTTTTGGAGAGACGTTTGGCAGCTAATGAGATTGTGTAAATGATTTTATTTTTTTATTCTTGGTGATTACCAATCAGTATACCTATGAGACAGATACACAGTAGGACTGTCATCAGGTAAATGTTGGTGAAACTGGACAACGATGTCATTTGAGGTTTCTGGAGAAATTCTGGTGCAACAGGACACTTAGGCAATATTTAAGGTGCTGGTGAAAGGTGCAAGAAATGAGTATTGTAAAATGAGGGTTCAGTATAGCAGATGAAAAGGTTATGACATGCTTGCTTAAAGGAAACTTACTTTTAAACTTTTCTCCAGTGGGCTCTTCTGCTTCATCAGAAATAGTTCCTCCTGCTGGAAAGAAAAGGGGAAAGAAATGACTTTGACTGGAAAGCTTAGTTGGTATTGAGGAGAAGTGCTGGATCTATTTTGACCCAAAAGCCAATGGCTTTCGTTTTTACCGCAGAACATTTTTTTTTCCAAGTAATGTATTACTACTGAAAGCCATATTTCCATTAAATTAGTGTCTGTTATTAGTAGCAGTGAAACGAGAGAATTATAATTCCTTTAAAATGTAACGGGTTATATTCTTTCTGTGCTGTGATCTATGAGTAAGTCAACTTACTGCCAATGCTGAACTGTGGGACGGGCATTAGTGTGTTCTCTGTCACTAATAGTCTTTGTACCCTTGACCTGCTGACTGTTCAAAAGCAAGCAAAGTGACCATCAATACTTCAAAATTCTTATCTGTTACAGAATTTCACAAACTTATTTGGACAACCATTGGTGTGCTTGCTTTCTCCAACAGCATATCCAAAAGCGTTACAAGGTACGTGTAGCGTTGCATTTCCTAACAAGTTGCAGTTGGATCACATATCTGTCCCAAACAAATATAACTTAGATTCTTCAGGAGAAGATAGCTTTTCATCACCATGTCATCCCTAAATCAGACTAACGTTCCCTGAAGTAGTGTGATAAAGTTTAGTTACTGTTTATGGCAAATAATTTACTCTAACAATGATGCTATTTCTACATATAGCTTCAGCAAGTGCTAGGAGGCAAAGTCTCTCCTACACAGAGACTCAGAAAATTGCCAGCCCGGTGCTGGGATGATGACGATGATGATGATGAGCATTTTGGGTAGCTTTATTAGTCCCGGAAAGTGAGCAGAGTCAGCTGAGGTATCAGCCTTTACATGCCAGCTGTAGAGCAAAATCTTCTCAGATCTTGTTCTGATTTTGGAAGGTAAGTTAAGGAAAGCCATTGGCTTTGTATGGCCTGGGAAGGTGTGTTTATAGTAGGAACAGCAATGAAACCTTATATTCTTCACTCCTTGTGACTGCTATAAATATAAATCGTTCCGGACTTTCTCCCTGGAATTTGCCATGTTAAGGTTATTCCCCATCACGAAGACAAGTGCAGAGGCCACATGCAGTGCTGTTAGACAGGTACCATGACGGTGTGCAGGAAGCAGAAGCTTCTCACTTGCTTTGAAACTATTCCTGTTATTTAGCTGAAAGTTAAGTAGAAATTAAGTGCTGTAATACTGAATCCTCTTTAAACAGAAATTCTGAAAAACAGAACTAACTTTGTAAATTACTGGATGCTTCTATTGATAGACCAGTCAGGAAAGTCTTGCTGCCGTGCAGGGACCTTGTAGCTGTCGGCACGGCGTTGCACCAGGCGTGCCGTGTGCCCCCCTCCTGAGAACCCCAGAATGCACCCAGACAAGTCAGTAAGCCTTGAATCCTTGCTGCTGAGGAGCCTGACTGTCTGGGCACATCGTCTGCTGGGCGTTGCTTTCCGTTTTGACTGGGATGAGGCTTGGGCCTCTCTATCATGCCGGACTGCGTGTAGTAAGTGGGGTTTAGGATATTGGGATGCCCAACAGAAAGGCAACTGTGGGGGGGGGGGCTGTATAGGTTTAACTACCTGTTTTTTTTGAATGGCGTACAAATGTCCATGTTTAATGCTTCTCTTTAGGATTTATAATCAGTCTATCAGTCGTTTCAGTTACGATTTTTGTGTTCAAGTTATGTGCTCAAAATGAAGAGCCTCCCACAATCCATAAGACAGTCTCATTTCTCCTGGTGTTCATGCACATCTCCAGTGAGCCTTTACTGCTAGTCATTGCACCACCTGGAGAGCAGATCTGCCACCAGAGGAGAGAAGATGTAACTAACACAGAGAAGTAGCTCCTCTGTTACAGAATTGAGTGGGTGAGCGACTTCATTCTGTGGCAGGGACAGCTTTTCTGTTTCATGTGCCAAATGTATCTCTTTTGTCTATTGATTTATTTTTTTTAGATCAGTCTCAGCGGGGTAGCCTCTTCACACTCTTTCTGAACAATCCTTTAATGGCATTCCTGTTTGTCTCTGGATTATCAAGCATGCGCAGAGGATTGTGGGAGAAGTGTCAAGATTACCTTAGAAAAATCAACCGAGATATTGCCCAGCTGCTGACCCACTCCCGATCCATAGGTACGTGCCTGGAGGTGCACAGCTCATCCCTAGCATGCTGCTGGAGCACGTGCTGGTTTTTCTTGCTCAGCCTTTCCAAGGGGCAGAAGAGTGAATAAGGGAAATCCACGAGAATTCATAGTGCTTTCCCCCAAGTCTCCTTTTTTTTTTTTTTCTTTATTTTTAATTCTTTAACTCTTTCTAAACTGAGTTTTCTTTGCCTTCTCTACAGATCAGTCCTTTCTTCAATTTTTTGGGGATGAATTTCTTCGCTTGCTTCTAACAAGATTTATCTTCTGTTCGGCTACTATGAGGATGCACAAAATTTTCCGGGTACGCAGGGATATCTCTCCCTTTGTGAGAGCAGCAGTCCAGTGCATGTAGAACTGCACTGCCTCAGGATGGAAGGGTCTTAGGGCTAAGTGTATCACTGTGACTTCAGAAAGATAACTGATGCTCACGTGCTAATGCCTGCAGCTTGCACTGAGTCTGTGCCTTTGTATCTCTCCAAAGGCGTTGAAGCCTTTGGCTCCCCGAAGCCTTATTCCTCCACATAAGTAGCAGACACACTCGTTTATGTCACTCTGAACAGCCTCGTCTGCTAAAAAAATTCCTCTTAATAATTCAAGATTATTATTTCTACACAACTAAGAAGGTGTAGAACAAGAATGTAAGAGGAAGCGGGGAGGAGTGGAATGTTATTGCTGAAGTGTATTCTAGTGTGAATGGATTTTGAAAGGTCTTTGAAGTGTAAATGAATAAGCTAAACAGGAAGATGGTATTTTCCCTCCCTGTTGGTTAATGCTGTGCCAACAGTGACGTCTGCTTCTGGATCTACACCATTTTATATATGCGAGTGTTGGCATGTAAACGGCCTGCTCCATAAAAAAAAATAGAAGTTGAAGCACAGGAAGGTACAGAATTCATCTTGCCTAGCTGCAGACATCTCGTAGGTTCCCAGGCCTCAGTCACCTACCTAGGCTGCCCTGATTCCGGGGAAAGAAGCAGGTCTTCTGTCAGTGGGGAGAGACCTGCCCCCAGCGTCTGAGGCACTTGTTTTAGGATGAGATGAATCTCCCACTGGAGATGCTTACGTGTCTGTAATTTCAAGAAATGAACTCCAGCCTAGTAGGTAAGTATATGTGAAGTCTTTTTGTCTTTTTTTGGTGGTGTTTTTTTTCTTGCGAGGCTTCTGTGAACATATTATTAACCATCTTAGATGAATGAGCATTTGTGTTGCCACTCTGACCGTCTCTGAGTCAATGCAAAGGGAAGACTGAAAACGCTAGAATATTTTCTCTCTCTGTGGCATGCTAAACAGATTAGGATACCTCTTAGGTGAAATTGGCTTTTTGCAATCTTCTTCATAAAGGGTGTAAAAATAAATGAATGTCTGATTCTCTTTGTTTTCACTGTCATCTAGCAGGAGACTCGAAATTATCCCGAATCTTATCCTCAGCTGCCAAGAGATGAGACGGTGGAGAACCCTCACCTCCAAAAGCACATTTTGGAGCTGGCTTCCATACTGGATGTCAGGAATGTTTTCCTGGAAAACACCCTCGATGACTATTAAAAGAAACTGTCTTACTGCAAAGGGGTTTCCCTGGCCACAGATTTTGAATGGTGCAGTTTTATAATGTGAAAATCATAAAAGGAAGTACTTGATTTTATTTTTAAATTTAGGACCATTATTTTAAAAAGTAATAATAAACAGCTGTTAGTTTAGCTGTTCCATTCTGTATGGGGTCAATTTTATAAGCAGAAGTTTTCGTGTCTTTTAAATGTTAAACTAAAGAATCACGAGAGGTTTATTTCTGGTCTTGTGGCTGTCAACCACATTTCCAACAGCTGATCCTAAGCATAGAAGTATTATTGGTTACCTTTAGCCCACATTTGTGGAAATCCTTTATTTTTATACAATTTTAAGAAATTGGAAAAAAAAAAATCAATAGAAAACCAATATTTTATCCCCAAAGAGTCTGGATTTGAAATGGTAAAGATGGAACCACACAGTGCAAACCAACAATAAGCAATAAAACAGAGTCCTTCATAACAAATATATTTTTTCAGTCTTAGGCAAGTAAGTAGACAAAACTGTGGACAGTTAAGTTGCATTTGGAGCAGTGGGTTTGAAGTGAAGTTGTAAAGATACTTAATGCTCCTTACAAATTTGACACAGCAATTTTATATATAAAACTTTGTACTGCTGGCCAAGGAGACGATTTCCACTCAGCTTGATTGGGTAGATGGTTAGCAGATTACCAAATTACCAAACTAAGAAAACTAGCCCCCATCTCTCACTGTAATGTGGGTCATCTTGCTGTTCGTACTGCTGCCACGATTTTCCAGGAGGAGGGGGCATTCTTCATTTTGAGGTACTAGACAGAAACTCTTTACGTTTCCTGCAGGTGCCACCCCTCCTTTCCGTGTGTGGATGGAATGTGTGGCTCCCAGTGTACCAGTCCCTGACAGGAGCTGAGAGACCGGCCCCTGTAGTGCCGAGCATGAGCCCCTCCTGTCACTCACTTACCTGACCCGTCTGTGCTGCATCCCTGTGCCCGAGGAGAGATGCTGATGCTCCTCTTGCAGGTTCAACAAAGTGGGTGCTGCTGTAAAGCCCCGTTACCATTTTGCACACCCTCCATCCCGTCCCAGTCCCGTCTTTGAACTGGTGAAGCCGAGGGGCTGTATGACGTGGGGCAGCACAGCGGGCTCCCGCACTCCGGGGTGCGGCCTCTGCCCAGGCCCGTGCTGGAGAAGGTGCCGCTGGGGAAGGCACCTGCCGACTCGCCTGGGCTGTCCTGCCGGCCTTGCGGAGCTGGAGGAACTCTTGCAACTCCTGACAGTGAAGGTGGGAGCAAGAAGGAAACGAAAATATTTTAAACTGTTAAATGAAAAGGTCCGTTGTCTCTGTTCCATGGGCTGCTAGACAAGAAGGGAAAGGACAAGTCTGATCGGCACTTTGATGTTGAACCCCGGCCACGCCTCTGTTTTAGGTGACAAAAGTGCAGAACTCGGTGACTCCCGCGGTGTCGCGGCAGGCCCGTGTGAGTGCCACCGTGGGAGGTGTGCTCTAGGCAGCGGGGGGGCAGCACGGACAGAGCCCCGTCAGCTGAGGAGAGCAGGACGGAACAGCGAGAATCGCTGGGGTGTAGCCGGGAAGTTTGCATGAAGGTTCTCTGGAGCTGGGCTGAGGTTTACACCATCCATTCTTTCATTTCCCAAGTGTAAAAACAAAACAAAACAAAAAACTCTGTGAATGCTAGTGTTTGTTCTAAGCAGTCTTGAAGCTGGTCTGTTGAGCCCCCACCACTTGGTGCTGCTCTTCTTTGGACTGTGGCAGGACTTCGTTACCTGGGACGTGGAGTTTATTTTGAAGAGTGTGTGTTTGTGTGTGTGCATGTGTATTCTAGGCGTCTGTGTGTATATGTACAATACGCATACATCTACTGGCTGGTGTAAATTGTAAATATGTATATATGTATAGGTACTTGTATATGTATTAAAAAAGAATGAAACAGTGCAATGTCTATATACAAAATTTATATATACACACATACGCCAATTTAGGGGCATTCCACAAGGTGTTGCAGATCATTAGTGGTTGTAGTAAAGGTTATGGCTCTTCTGCCACTGTAACGTGCTGTTTCCAGGGACTCACACTGGGACCTTGAGGTAATTCATTAACTGACTGCAGGTACAGGAGGCGTTAGCTAGCAAGGGGAATGAGTACTCCTGTATGTGTTACAGTGGTAGGATTTATGTGTTCTTAACTGTGAAGCTGATGACCTGCCTTTTGTTCTGGTAGGAGGTGCCCGGTTATTAAAACACGGGATTGTACGTAGAAGCTGAAGATACAGAAAGCCTTTCGTGCAGCAGCAAGGGAGAGGTGGGTTCTCTCTCGCCCTGCCTGCTGCTCCTCCACCAGCAGCGTTCAACTTGCATGGAAAAGGGGAATTTAGTTTTCCAACCAAATGCTTTCGTTTTGCTGTAGCTCTTTTGCTTTGCTGAAGCTGTTCTCATTTTGGTTCTGTCTATCTGGAAAAGAGTATGCTATTTCTGAGCACAGGAGCGTGGGCTGGTGAACCTCTGTGGGATGTTGCTTGTTGACTGACTGGGAAAGCGTTGGTGGACCCAGCCCTTGCTTGTGATCTGAGGGGCTTCTAGTCCACTTTGCAGCCCTAAGAGGAGGTTCTGTTGCTTGTTACTAAGCTTGATCTAATCAGAGGAGAACACACTTTTCAAAAAAACAAAACAAAACAAAAACCCCGAAGAAGCTAGAATGTGGGAGAATATAAGGCCTTGAAAATTAGTTCAGAAGTTGAACGTGTGGTGACTGTCCAAGTCAAAAATTCATTTTTGAGGTCCCTCATTCTCACCTACTGAGCTTTTGTGCAGGAGGTACGCTGCTGGCAGGGACTGTCAAAGATAAAGATTTCACTCCTGTTGTGTCAGTAGGAGTACGGAATTGTACTTGCTAAGCAAAAGGCCAATTCCCTCCGTCTGCTCTCGCTGTAGATAGGATGAGGTCTTGGATCTTGAGCCAGCCCCCTCCCTTCCCACCTAAAGCAAGTGCATTCAAGATGAAAATATTGATATTTTCCCCTCCAAGTAAAAGCTTGTCTTGTTTGAACTTACTAAGTCATTCTAAACTTGTGCTACTGTGTGCTGTGTGCTATGGTCGTAGGTACCTTCTCAATGTATGCTTGTATGTACTGAAGAAAAACCTGGTTAATGTATCTAGCAGTCCTCAAGTGTGGAAGGAGAGCAAAGACTGAATCATTTTTAGTGAGAAGAGAACAAATGCTTTTCTTCTCAGGCCTGCTGCCTTTCCTCTTGTCTCGCTCTCCCCTTCTCCATATATCTTTACTGTTTGTGTTAGCGGGGTAGACTTGCCACCACCAGGCAATACTGAATTAAAGGGGTAAATTCTGTAGGAGCTGGGGTGAACGTGTCCTCGCTGGATGACTTCTGCCCCGCTCCCCACCTCCTGCACGCGGGGGGGGTGAATCCTGCTCCCCCAGCAGGCACCTGTTTGTGCTCCTGCTCCAACTGGCTGCACGACATCCAGCCAAGTTACTGCTGTCGCCTTTTGTTCTTTCCCCTTTGACTTCTCAAAATAACGATGGGGGAGTACAGGGTTATGGGTCCTTAATGCTCTGGGGTTTAATTACTCTTGGGATGCAATGTGTCATTTTGCTTCATGCACAAGCTAAACTTCTCCAAGCTGTGCAAACCAGATTTGCTCCCTGGAGTGGTTTCGTGAGAAGTGTCAGGACGGTTTGTTTGTGAAGTTCATCAGAATAATATCTGTCAAGTCAGGACTTACTAAACCCCTCCAGACTCTTCCCCAGGGAGACGTGCAGCAATGTCCTTTAAGGCTCAGAGGAAATAGAGGAGGGGAAATTGGGTTTCAAATAATCATCTTCAAAAGCTACAACTTCAGTAGCTCTGGTCAGGCTTTTCCTCTAAGGAGGGGATGAAAGTTCTGCTCCACGATCCATCCCTGGGTGCTGTTGTGAAGTTCCTCCCCTGCCCCGCCGCCGCCTTGTGCTGTGACTCCATGCTGTGCTTCAAGTCTGCTTTTTCCTGGAAGCTAAAGAGCTTGGAATCTGTCTGAACAATTTTTTTTTTTTTTTTTTTGTCTTGAGGCTTTTGTAAAAGTTTTATCTGTGTTAGGTTCTTCAGTAACTGTTCTGACTACAGCTCACCAGTGGTAGCAGTGGCAGAGCCCGTCCCACGTTAAGCAGCTGCTGGGTGTCGGGAGCTGGCGGCAGCTGCTGCTGCTCCTGGGCCCGAGGCAGCTCTGCAGACACTAGACAGCAAGAGGAATCTTATAGAAAGGGAAAAAAATCTGTTCTACAGAGCTGAAAACTGCTCTGTGCCAGTCGGTAACATTTAGACTGGGGGCAGCCAGCCACCGTGTGAGGGACACTGGCGCAGAGGACAGGGGCGAAGATCTCCAGAGCAGAGATTGTACATTCCTGAGGTGGCTCTCGTGCAGTTTTACTGCTTCTGACTTTTAGAGCAATACTGTTTCTGTGACCAAATGTATCGCAAGTGCTTTGAAGATCTGGATGTCCACAGGCAGAGCAGAGGAGAAACACATCAGACACAAGGATCTGCTTTATATTTAGGAGTGGAAGTAAACCACTTTTTTTTTTTTTTTTTCCCCCCCTCCAAACCAGAGGAGATTTAGTTCAAGATTTCTGAATTTAACAAATCTTTGGGGGGATTAAGGGGCATCTCTGAGTTCCTGTTGACTTATTAATGTGCCAGAAGCACACATAGATGTTCTGCTCTTAGAGATCCTGGTTTCATTCACATTGAGCAGACTTCAGTGCCACTGGCTGGCCCAAAGGAGCCCCTGAGCAGTGCAGGTCGCACCAGATCCAGAAACAGCAGCTGCTCCTTCAAGAATAGAAGCCTGGTGGGAGTATCTGCCCCACTGACTTTGCAGATTTCTCGTGGCATGTGTTTATTATCACTTCTCAGCTGTAAGTGGCTTGTTGGG